CCCTCAGCTCCCTCTGACCCTCCCAGCCCTGCTGAGGACATTGGTGCAGTGACATCTCCCATCCCAAGCCCAGACTGAGCTGAACCAGCTGCCATTAAGGATATTCCCAACCTCAGGCATGAATCTGCTCCAGGTTTATTCCCATCCCACTGCTTAATGCTGTTCTTCCACTAGAGTAGCAAACCCAACTGAACCCAACCCAAACTAACCCAACTCAACTCAACCCAACCCAACTCAACCCAACCCATGCAACTCACCACAATTCAACTCAATCCAGTGCAACCTTAACCAGCCCCATCCTACCCAACCCAACTAAACTCAACTCAATCCAAGCCAACCCCACCCAAGACAACCCAACCCAACCCCAAGGATGCTCCCAGCCCAGCCAAGGCCTTACCAATGAAGCCATAGCCTTTGTGCTTCCCTGTGGTTGGGTCCCTGGCCAGGGTGCAGGATTTGATCTTCCCAAAGGCCTCGAAAACGCTCTTGATGTCATCATCAGAGAGGTCCTGGTGCACGGAGGCCACGTAGATGCGGTTGAAGGCTCGAGCCTCCTCAGCCAGCTGGTCAATGATGGGCTGGGCCTGCCCAATGTTGCTGGGCCTCCCCACCTGCAGGGACATGGACAATGTATGGAGCACCCCAGGGGAGCAGCCAGGCCCACTGCACCTCCCTTTCAGAGCTTCATGGAGTGTTAAAGGGTTGGGATGGACCTCAGAGATCATTAGTGTGGTGGGCAGGGACACCTCCCACCAGGGCAGGCTGCTCAAGGCTTTATCCAATCTGGCTTTGATGAATGAACCATGGAATACGGGAATGGTTTGGGTTGGAAAGAACCTTAAAGCTCATCTCATTCCACCCAATTGCTATGGACAGTGTCAAGGGTGACCCTGGTGGTCCACAAATGTCATGGTATGTTATCATAGAATGTGAAGGGGTTGGAATGGACCTTAGAGGCCATCTAGACCCAACCCCTGCCCTCGGCAGGGACACCTCCCACGAGAGCATGCATCATCCAGTGCCACCTCCTGCCCTGGGCAGGGACAGCTCCCACCAGAGCAGGCTGCTCAAAGGGTTTATCCAACCTGGAATGAACAGTGACAGGATTGGGACATCCACAGCCTCCCTGGGGCACCCACAGCCTCGATGAGCATCACAACACCCAGGAGCATCAGGTTTGTCCCTCAGGAGATCCCACCCTGTGTTTGGGTGGGAACACCTGTGCCATGTCCCCAGGGCAGGCCCAGGTGTGACCTGCAGGCCCAGGGCCACTATGTGCTCCAGGGGTTGGACATGAAGGTCCATCAGGGACCAAGCTTAGGTACTTTCCCCCTCACAGCAGTGTGAGGAGCATTTCTAGGCACAAACCCATCATTCCCAGGAAGAACTAGGAATCTTCAGCTCTTGCTACTCACCTTGATGTTCCTTCCCCCCAGCATGACAGAGTTCATCTGCTCCAAGGCCAGCTGGGCAGCTTCAGGTACTTCATATTCCACAAAGGCAAAGCCCTAGGAAAGGACGAGATGTCTGGGAACCATTTTGGCTGTGCCTTGTGCCAAGCCAAGACCTCCTATGGACCAGATCCCTACTTGTGGGATTGATTCCCACCACAGACTCCTGCTCGTGGCCTGAAGAGTTTGCTCGGAGCAGCTCTTCATAGAAGCAGAAAGTGGCCTGGAGACACTTCCAAGGCCACTGCCTCCAGAGCCTCCTGTCCTTGAAGGTCTCACAGCCAGAGGCCGCAGAGCTGCTGCCTGATTGGCACTTTCCATGCTTCCAGCATGGAATGCTGCTCCAGGCAGGGCAGCAGCTACAAACCTCATCTCAGGAGCTAAAAGCATCCTGATCTCCAGGAATAAGGCCTGGATGCATCAGGAAGGCCTTGTAGAGAAGAACAAACCCATCCCTCAAGGGCAGGGAACTACAGACCCCCAGGATGGTTTGGCTTGGAGATACCATAACACCCATCTCCTATGGACAGGGAACCTCCCTCATCCTGGGCTGCTCCAAGACCCAGGATGGTTTGGCTTGGAGGACCTTAACATCCATCTTGTTCCAAGTGACCTTCCCTCATCCCAGGCTGCTCCAAGTCCCAGGATGGTTTGGCTTGGAGGACCTTAACACCCATCTCATTCCAAGGGACCTTTCCTGACCCCAAGCTGCTCCAGGGCCCCACCCACCTTGTGCTTCATGGTGACGGAGTCCCAGGACATGTCAATGCTCTTGATGGGGCCGAAGGGGGCGAAGGCCTGGCGGATGGTGTCCTCTCCCAGCTCGTAGTAGATGGAGCCCACGTACACCCTGCACATGATGGCCAGCGCGCGCTGCCTCTGGGCCGCCATCTGTAGCGGAGAGAAGGACTGGCTGGTCAGGGCCAGGGGTGGCCATGGACCCCCAGGACCTCCTGCCCTTCCTCCTCCCTCCCAGCAGCACAGCCTGACACACGTGGCACGGGGAGGAATTCCCTGCTTGCTGCTCAGGGCGCTGGAGGGGACACGGCCCGCTCTGTCCTGGGGATGGAGGGGGCACATCTGGCTCACTCCTGGGGATGGAGGGGACACATCTGGCTCAGTCCTGGGGAAGGAGGGGATTAGGTCTGCCTCACGCCTGGGGCAGGAGGGGACAAAGTCTGGCTCAGTCCCGGGGCAGGAGAGGATAAAGTCTGGCTCAGTCCTGGGGCAGGAGAGGATAAAGTCTGGCTCACTCCTGGAGATGGAGTGGATGAAGTCTGGCTCAGTCCTGGGGCAGGAG